GTCCCGGCGCCTGCGGACGCGCAGTGAAGTCTGCAGCCCCTGCCCGTTCCCCCGTGGGGCTGAGGTCTGAAATGCACCCGGGACAGGGAGAACCCTCAGCCCCCTGGAAGGCTGCGGTCTGTGTTCAGCGCGGCGTCCAGCCGTGCTGCCGCGGTCTCTGTGACGTTGAGCAAACTGCTTTTTTCACTGATCTTCAGTAAGTAACAGCAATTTAGCCTTCACTTCTCCGCAGAAGACAGTAAAGATTTATTAACATAACGGCCGCAATGCTCAGCAGTGTTGGCTGCTGGACTTACGGTGGGGACAGGGTGCACATGGCCACAGCCTTCAGAAACAGGGGACGGAGCAGGCGGCGCTGAACGCACTTATTTACCCTCCTCCCCGAGCGCAGCACAAACCATTTTCTGTTGAGCCGCTTCCTGCTGCCTCCAGGAGCAGAATTGATGGCAAAGACAGGGCAGACGTAGCAAGAGCACAGGCTGCTTTGGCTCTTGAGGGACAAATTTGCAGACAGGCTTGATCCGCTTGCATCTACTTGCAGGTTTTTTGGAAAGAATTTGGATGACATCAGCAACCCTCCCCCTGGCTGCAGTCAGCTCCCCCTCCGGAGGGACAAGCGGGGGCTTCACTGGCAGATTCACAACCTTGCTCAAAGGGTAATAGCAGACCTGGTTCGACAGAGGGGCTGGAAGGAGTAAATACCCCTCTCCTCACCCATTCCTGTGGAGCAGGGAAGTGCCAGCCTTCATCCAGGAATGTTTCTCCTTCCTGGAGCGCAAAATACCCTTCACCTTGGCAGACCTTGGCTTGAGCAAGGAGCTTCCAAGTGGTGACAGGCACGGGGCTTCCGAGGCCTCCTTTTCCCGGGATGCCACCGCTATCACCGGGATCTCCACGCTGCCTCCGGGTGGGTTTATCAGCAGTGCAGATAGTGTAGGGGTTTCAGTTGTACAGAGGAAGAACAGATAAGGGGAGGGAAGAGCCGGCACAGAACTTGACTGAGTGACTAAGATAAATTTACTGTACTACAGGAAATCGAAATGTGAAATAAAGATCTCAAACAACTGAAATATTTAAAAAGATATAGGAGGTGGGTGCACGTGACAGCCATTCTGAGCAGGGAAGCTCTCGGCAGGATGGGCCCTTATCAATCTATCACCCAGCTGGACTGAATATTATAAGAGATAATAGGGTGGAAGAAGAATTGAAATAGAAACTAACCATTAAAGGGAGCTGAATGACAGGTTCTCGGGCCCAAATAGGATTATAATTAGCAGGAAGAGACAGAAAGTTTCCCTCTTTCTGTTGCTGTTTGTTTTTGTTTCCGTGTCAGCCAGGAGTGTCCCGGGCTGGAGAGGCGATCCCGGATGCCGAGGTGAGCTGGGTGCTCCCTGGGCACGGGGCTGCTCCCACAATTCCAGGGAGCTGGAGCCGGAGCAGCGCGATGGGATCAGGCGCTGGGACCACACGTGCATTTCTGGGGAGAATTTCCACCCCAGCACCCACTGGCTCTTTCTCATTCAGGTAAATTCTAAAACCCTTATGAACATCAGCTGGACCAAGGCTTTTGTTCTGGGTCTTTAAATATCCATCAAAATATAAACACTAAAGCAAAAACACTTGAGTTTTTTTTTTTTTTTAACCCCTTCTGACCCTTTTAATTTTGAAGCAGTGAAAAGAACGCTGTTTGTGTGATTAAACGCGGTATATTGGATTTGAAATCTTAGTGTAAATGAAAGAGTTTGGGAAACATTTTTAGTTTCAGTGGTAGTAGATTTGGTGGATTTAAATGCTGGAGCTGAAAACCTGAAACTGTCTTGAAAGAATAATGGAGCTCAGGAGGGAAAGGGAATAGCAGACAAGGGGCTTACAATTTTGGAAAGAAATCCTTGTAATTTGTCTTTAGTAATCTGAGACATAATAACATGAGAAGAGATATTTGAAAAATATATATTATGCCTATTTTGAAGCTGGCAGTCTCTGCCTTTCCTGGATGTAATGCTTAGCCTAATGCCATCGAGAGACCGAATTCAGGCTCCTGATTTTCCTCTAATTTGCTCAGTAACCTAAGGCAAACTCAATGTTTCATCTTTCCACAGCTCCGCTTCCAAAGAGGAGCCTGAAACTAAAGAGTTTGGAGGATTCTAGGCAGATTAGCTAGAGAAGATGAGGTCAGTCCAAGAATTTAAACTAAGCCGGTCATCAGGGTATGGGCCTATCAAACAGCGAATTAGTATTGTGTGAATACAAATGCGACCATCTGTCTGTCACCATTACCGAGCCTAGTGGGTCATCATGCAAAATGCTTAAATTGGATAGTTTTGGAGATGAGACAACCTAAAAATGCCCAAGGTAGAGCGAATTGATACATCATTATTGCTTGTTATCTTCCTGGCTAAAATTACCCTCCGTGTTGGAATGCGGTTGAAGGAGCAGTGTGGATGCGCGGCGGGAGCTGGAGCCTTCGGAGCCAGGCTGTGAGCTGCCCGAGAGCCTGCAGAAATTAGGCAAACAGAGCCGACACGCTGATCCAACACATTAATGGTTTGTAACCTTTGCACAACCTTCAGCAAATCTTTGGATGTGTGGATCCAAAGGGCAGCTACCCACGGGGACTTCGCGCGTCCAAAGCGGCGTTCCTGCGGGATTGAGACGCTTGGGCTGGAGCGAGCGCACCGGGATGCATCGTGCCGAGACGGCGCTGGAGCAGGCAGGGGGACATTCGCCCTCCTAAATCCCACCTTACCTGTGTTTAGTGAAGCCCAGCAATAACTTAGGAAGGAAGGAGCGTGCAGGAGCCTCCTGCAGCGGCACGTTCAGCCCCTGCCCGCGCTGCGCCGGCCCCGCGCTCCTGCCCTCCATCGCAGCAATCAGCGCGCCGCGCTGCCTCCAGATTGCCCTGTCCCTTCCAATGATCTTTAACTCCGTTTTTCGCCGAGCAATCAGCAGCACTTTCTCCTCGTCGGGTTTGTCTTTTCCCATTTCCCTCTTTCCAGTCCCAGGTCCCAGCGCAGTCACATCTCATCACGCCTTTTCTCAAGCCATTTGTACCTCCTGCTTTTTTCTGTTGCCACCAATTTAGCTGCTGCCTCCCTTCCTTGTTCCACTCTCTCCCATGCTAACCACAAGTTATTCCGGAATGAAGCTCGGCTTCCAGGATGACTCTTCCCATTTTCCAGGGGCTGATTCGAAGCAGATACAGCTGGGGGGTTTTAGCTGGCTTAGAAGTGACGCATGGGTGTCTCGAGTTAATGCAGGGGAATTCCAGTCGGAAGTGTTGAGATGCTAATTAAAACAATATGCTTTTTTTTTTTTTTGTCCTTAGTTCCGATTTCAGTTTGAACTAGAAATCATGCAGCTGTAGGTTTCACATCCCAGCATTATCTTTACTATGTATCAATAATAGAAGAAATAGAAGGTCATTTAATAGAAATCCAGCTTTTTTTCTGGTACACCAAGCAGCAGTGCAAGAAATACTTTAACTATGTGATTAAATATGAACCTGCGCTTAAGTTCATTGCTGTTCAGCAAAGCAGTGTAGCGTGTGCTGAAGCTGAACTGGGCTCTTGTTATGCTCCTGTTTTAGCCTGGGCAGGAGAATTAGGCAGGAGAATTAAACTCGAGCGGGTATCACCTATTAATAAGGCAGCAAGTATCCGAGGCAGTACTTGTGCAGTGCAACAGAGCTCATCATTTCTCTATATATGAGCAATTAAGCTGCACCAGGAGGCCTATGTCTTTATATCATCACCTAATGACAGTGCAGAAGTATTCAGGGGAAGGAGAGGAAAAAAATCACATCCATATTTAATTGGCAAAGTTATCACCTTCGCTTCAGAGGCCGAACGTGCAGCGTTTCTGGCCAGTTTCCAAGTCAGATCTATTTCCCCTGACTGGAAAGCGAGGAGAGTGTCCTTATATTCCAGCTTGGCAACAAAATGCCCTTTTAAGGCTTGTGAACATGCTTACAACCGCAGTAAGTAACAAATAGTCTTTCCTTCACAGCAAACAAGAATACCTTTGAGCTGTGAGATTCCTTTTATTTTTTGCAGCAAATCGTTTGTGTTGTTATTATGATATAGCCCCACGCTCGCCTGTCAGGTTACATTTTTTTATAGCACTAAAGCAAAAAGCCACCTGGAGCCACC